TTATGAGAATAATTTTTGTATTTGTCCTTTCTGTAGTCCCCTTGCAGTACTCCTGCAGAAAATGGGCTGTTTTTCATTCTGTTCTTGTTCTTATGAAGCATTTAATTGAGAAACTATATTGTCAAGAATGGTGAAATTAAACATAACATCAGAAAACATTTTTGTGAGATCAGAATTTTACTGTTTGATTGAAAACCAGTAAAGGTTGTTCTAATCTCATCTGTGTTTCATCTTTCATTATCAAAAACCTTTTACCAGGGCAGAACCTAGCCAGACTTGTAAAACAACCAAAGGGAGAGCTGACACAGTTTATTACCACTTCCAAATTGTATGACTTGGCTGAAAAACTGGAAGATGGCCATGGATATGGTTTTGGTTTTTTGGCAGCAAGATATGGAAGTTATCAGCAGTTCTGTTGTTGAGACCTTAAATGGCAGACCAAGTCAGCCAAAAAGAGTTACAAATTCCTTGTGGTTTTGACCTTTTTCCTAGTCTGACAGCAGATGATTGAGAGTATGCAGTGGTTAGTTTATGACAGCCTGTGCTGCACAATGAAGGCTGTAGCGTGGCTACAGGGTGAAGCCTGTCCTTGACATAATTAGCTAAACCTTTCTCTACTCTACAAAGATAGGAAGATAAGGATTAGTCCCACATGTGGAAGGCTGCTTTCCAGAGATGAGGCAAAGTGAATTTGCCAAAACTCTTCTCAGAACTCCATGATTCTTCATCATCCTGTGGTTCAAGTACCACTTCTGATCTCCAGTCCAAAAGCTGACACTCAATATTTCTCTTTGTTTTGTAACGGGATCTTTATACAGTTCCAGAATAACCCCAGATGAAACACCAAAACATGGCAAAAACCAGATGGGACTGCCAGAGTTCATGTCACCTCATTCTTCAAGAATATTGCATAGAATGTGCCAGCAACAAAGGCTTGGATTCAGTCTAGATATTGAAGTTCATTCTGCTAAAACAACAAATTGATGAAAATCCAATGGAGGAAAGTGATCTTGACAGCAGAGCGTGAAGAACTAAGGAAGGCAGAGCCTGACTGATGCAAAGGGAGGTACCTGAGGGAGAGTTAAGGTCATGTAGGTAAGAAGGATCACCTGTGGCTAAGCCATTTTGGAAGGATGTTTGCTTGGTTTGCAGCTGTTTCTTTAACACTGAAGACTGTTCTGGTACTTGGAAGACTAAGCCCAGCAAGCAGGACTGGAAAGGTTTTGTTTGTTCCTATTTTACACCAGGGAAATATCTAATTATGCAGCCAGGGCAGTTGAACAGATCCATGAACGAAAAGTTAAGTAGATTAAAAAACATTGAGGGAAATGGAGGCTAGTTAGCCCTTTATTTTCTGATGGATCTCTTAAATGAAATCATATTCTAGCACACCCCTCTCAGCTATGATCTCACAACTATTACTAATGCTTGGTCATATGAAAATATAATTTCTCTCCCAGTAAGAAACAAAGGTTTGTCTGTAGCTTCTCCCCTGAGCCTCAATGACCCCTTGGGCTTGTGCGCTCAAACTCTCTTATGTGCTGTTGGACAAAGCAATAGGCACGACTTGGTACCATCCCATTCTTAACCTCTGAATCTCTATCCCAAAGAGGTAGATAACTTATGGTCCAGCTGGCAGGGTGCAGCCTCCAGCAGTGCTGGAATACTACTTTAATTCATGCCCCTTGAGCTATTACAGACATGCCACTGCATCCCTAAGAAACACACACAGATCATAAATAAGGTTAGATGTTATTTTAAGTAATAAACACTAAGATACAGAAATTTCATTGCAGCCTTCTGTCTTTGTCTGTCTCTTCGTTTCGACTATTTTTAGTTTGCAGTCAGCATTATGACTGTGAGCTCAAGGAACACTTGGACAATAGGTACATAAATAATTATGGATAAGTCTCCAGAGCCTTAAACATTAGCAGAGAATTTAAGTTAAATACTGACTGGTACTATTCTGTGGCTTGGAAATACAAACTGTACTTATACACATTGCTATAATTTTATTTCCCATGACCTGGACATTGGTGGTGATGGAAGGGTCTGCACAGAAGCTTCAAGAACTTCAAACTGATGTATTACTGAACACAATTCTGCAGAACAAACTGGTGCCATCTTCTACGTTTATCTGCTTATACTTCTCAGTAGTGAACTTTGAGCTGTCACAGAAACGATATTGCACATCCACAGACATGCCCGAGAGTAAAAAGAAAGATTTTTACTGGTTTTCCAATGGATATTTAAAACGTGAGTTCAAAAAATAGCTTGTAAGGATAAAAGCTAAGTCTGTAAGGGATAATGCATGGCTAGTGCTTTGGGTTGTGATAAAAAATAGTAACAGTAAAGAAAACTCATGTAAACTACTGAACATTTTCTAGTAACTTTTTTTTTTCTGCATGTGTTTTTCAAAGAGGACTCTTTAATATTCTTGCCTTTTGAAAAAATCTCTTGTGAAGTATTAGTAAAGTGGTGCAGAAAAGTATGGTTTTGACGCAGAGATATAAAAGTTTTTTTTCTTAACTTGAAATCTGTATTTTTAAAAGCACTGCCTACACAGACACTGATGTTGGTAAGAATGTTGCAGAACTACCATGTAGATTTTCTCTATTTGTTTTTATTTTCTTTTCACAGTCTGTGAGAATACTTTGAGTCTATGGAGACCTGGGTCAGGACAGTGAGTAATATAGAAGACTTTCACCTCCTGCAGGTCACCTCTGCAAATGCAAGGCTAGGAAGAAATAGTAAAAGTTAAGACTCCACTGGAATACAAATAAATGTATCTCTGCAACTCTACAAAGAAAAGCATGAGGACAAGTTAGGCAGAGCACTGGTTTGAACGACAGCCTTGGCAATCAGGGGGGCTCTTTGTTTATATCTGAGGCACTTAGTACTCTACACAGTCTCTGCAATTAAGCAGGCCTGCATCAAATGTGAATCAATCAGCTTTTCTCCTACTAGGAATGACTGAAACATTCTACTCAAATGTCTCATTTCATGTTGTATCACTTTGTAAAACCAAGTGGGGTCCCTGGAACACATCAAGATCCAGAGTCAAATCTTTCTTGATGGAACAGAGTAATTCAAGGTCTCATTTTGAGAGGGCAACAAGACCTCAGGTCTTGTATGTGCTTAAAAAGAGAGGAATTTTACTTTTCCTGCCCTTGGACAGTGAACTAGCCTCCAGGTGACAAGTCAGTCTACAAAATTGTGGTAAATCACAGCTACCAAAGGGGGAAGCTGTCCTTTTGCTGCTGCACCCTCTGCCTGCTAGACCATGGAGGGAGTAATTTTAGATCACTGAAATGGTAGAAAACTATCTCAGAAGAAAGGAAAAAAAAACCAACACACATGCAGAAGATGGCATCCTGCCATTCTAGTCAGCTGAACTGGCTTGAGGGAGTCTCTAAGTAGCCCCATAACAGGTGTAGAGAGACAGAGCAGGAATACTCCTCTTTATGGCTTTGTGCCACTAAACCAGTACACCTGTTTCTGAAATGGAACCCAGGAGAATCTTTCCCTGATTCTGGGATTGCTGTGCAACAATTGAGGTGTGCTGGGCCTGAAGGAACACACAGGAGAGCAGAGCAAAAATCTAAATGCAAGTGGGGAGTCTAAAACATGCTTTTTTAGAGCATGTGTGTGGTGAGTCCTGGTCTCCTCTCTCTCACACCGCCTGTGTGTCTTGTATTTCTAATCTGCAAATAACGGCCTAGGAGATGAGTATGCTACCCAGAAGACTTCTGACTGCTACATGAGTGACAGAAGACCAAGCCAACCATCTTTCTCAGCTAAAGTAAATCTTCCATTTCACTCGGGCTTTCAACCTCTGCCCCAGATCACGCTCCTTTTCTATTTCTCCCCATTCTCCTTCCATCCCAGTTGGCTCCTTTTATTCCAGTTCAGTCTTATCCCCCCTGCAAGGGAATGCATCAGGCTGCACCTATAGAAACAACCATTATAGGTCCCTTCCAACTCAGAATATTCTGTGATTCTGTGACTCCACACTGTAGCAGGTGTCCTGAGGAGCTTATTTTATTCTAGTAATGGCAATGAGGAGTCGTGATTGATTCTGCAGAGGTGACAGACATGTATCTGGACAAGGTAAGAGAATAAAGCCTGTGAAGTCAAACTGAATATATTTTTTGAGAATTTATTCCAGCACTTTATAGAAAACTGAGGTAACCCTAACAGAAGCAAAACTCAAGTCAGTATTACAGAAAGAACAAAAAAATCACCGGTGAATTCACATGTGAAAGTACAACCATATATACTGTTCATTCTTTAAAGCTCTTCAAATTTGTATAAGTTTCAGGAAGACAGATTGGCTTAGTTTGTTGGCATTTCACAGCTACATTGAAAGCACAAATGAAACTGTTACTGTACTGTAATGCAGTGTGACATTAGTATGAAAGAGTCAAGACCCTCCCTCTGTCTCTGATCTCATTTGAAGCATGCCAGCATCAGACTGGCATTACTAATGCACAGGTCCCCAGTGTACACTGGCTCTCACTTTTGCATGCTCTGAGCTTTCCATACCCTTTTCACTACAGATCTGTAGATGTCAAGGACCCCTAGCCTTGAGCATGCAGTACTAAGTATGTATGAGCAAAACACACTTATAGAAGACATTTTAAAATTAAATGTACTTTCTCTTGGACCCTCTACAGTCTGGAAAAGATCTGCAGTTGGATCTCAGGAAAACTATTTCAGCTTCAGATAAAAACATTTGGAATGTCAAGGGACTACTGGAAGTCCTGAGAACAACTTTATGAATATTACTGTTATAACTCAGTAAAATCCATTAACGTTTCCCACAACATTGAATCTAAACATGCATCAGTGTGAACCATGAATGATAATTCCAAGCTGCAATATGTCCTAACATTTCCAGATATAACAGAAACAAATGGCTGTGGTCATTCACAACAGAACATTGCACAATGTCGAACAAAGTGCCTCTTTTTAATACGTATAAGGAGATTCCAGATGGATGATGAGACAAAAGCAGATATATTTATTTGAATGAATTTTTAAGAAATGTTAAAGCTACTATTTAATAAAATAAAAACCTGATTACCACATAAGAAAATCTTTTTGGAAATGCTTTCTTTTTTCAAAATGTAGAAATTCTCTGCTGACAATCTTATAAAACACATACATGCTGCAAAAACGAAATATACAGAGGAGCAATGAAGAATTACCTCAGCTTTCACCACCACTTCATTTGATTGAAACTGTTCTTGTGTTCCATTAAGCATAATAATATATTTGGAAAATGTAAATAACCTAATTATGTTTTTTTGCTTCAAGCTTCCAGGCACCAGTCATATATCGTAGTCGTATAAAAAGAAGATCCCTGCCCATCTGCAGCCAGCTCCAAAAGGGAACTAACTTAGAACCTGTGATTAATGAAGAAGAAAATCAGAACGACATTGTTAGGAAAAAAATGAGCACTGGCAAGACTCACATTTAAGCAGTCACGAAACTCTGCACTCTCAGCATGCTCAGCCCCACAACCTAGATTTTAACATTTATAAAAAATATGTATTTTGAAAGCAATTGCTATAGGTGAGACACTCTAGTTTGCAAGCAGCACAGTAATTCCATGTATGTGACAAGATGCAGACTGCTCTCTGTGACAAGCTTTGTTCAAGTAAAAAGGAACCTGAACACCAATAATAAAGCAAATGATTTATCTAGCAACTTTGGAGAAGAGGACCACCAACCTGTCTTACAACAATAATATGAAGGTACCTATCTTCAGGCAAGGCAAGGAACCCATACTACAAAACCAAGCCTTCTACCATCTCTGCTAGTATTTGTGTTGGGTGTAATGTACACATGGAACTGCACTGAAACATTTCTAGTAAAGCTGGCTCAGGACATTCTCTGCTTGCACTTTTCATCATTACTACAGTTCATTATAATTTCTGTTGTCCAGGGGTTGTGCTGAAGAGATAAAAAAAAATAAAAAACATGAAAAGGGCAAAAAAATAGAGGAACTGCATTTGATGGGGGGGAAGTGAGCTGAAGCAAGCAGTACCTCTTAAGCTGGTTCTGCACTGAAAAAAAGAGCTATACTTCCCAGTAACTCAGTGGCAGAGACCTCCCTACAGGTCTGAAACAGTATCACATCTTAAGAAGAGATGGTGCTCTAGAGGAAGCCCTAGTAGCTGAGAATTTTGGAAGGCAAGATACAGTCAAATGGAATTGAATCAGTTAAGTGATGATGGTCAGACTCCCTGCACAGTGTTTTAAAATGGCACTAATTTATTAACACATTATAGCAAGAAGACATGCCAAAATAGTGTTTTGTCCTGGCACTGTAATTCCTTACTTTTGTCTCCAGTGGGACTGCAGAGTTTCTCTGCTATTCTACCCCTTCACCTACACTTTCTGTACCAAGCCATAGCAATAGGCTGGCAAGGACACGAAATTCAGAATGTATATGGAAAGAAGGCCGTGTGCTATCAAAACCAGGTAAATAGGGCAATAACCTTGGATCTGTTATTCTGGATTGACATGTCAGGAATCTTGTAAGAACACGAACTATCTCCCTCCCTACCTTCTATTTCAGTCCAGTTGACAGCAACTTCTGCTATAGGTATTTTCAAGCGCTGGGCTATATAAAGAAGTTCCACGTCAAAAGCCCTGAAGAAGAACAGGAAATACCAAATATAATCACACATACTCCCAGATGAAAGACAGTGGAAATGTTAATTAAATGACTTCAGTTAGTTACGCAGTTGATACCAATGCTCTATGGGTCAGATACACATGGATGGGAAATTAATTTTCTTGACTGAACATCTCACAGAACAGCCAAAATACAGAAAACAATAATAGTTCTCTGTGTCCTGTATTTGAAGGTATAGATCACTCTGTGTTCAGCTCACTACTTGCTTTTCTTACTGTCACAGTCACAATTTAAACATTTTTGAAGACCATGAAAACCAAGCAGTCAAATGTACAGTGTCACTCCACATCTCTAGTAGTTTCATCAAAGAGGACATCTACCTGCTGTGGCTTTATGCTGATCTGATGGGTGCTCCTTTTACTTTCTCAGTCAAGGAACTCAAAGCAGCAGCATAGAAGTGAGAAATTATTTATGTTACCATGCACAACCGAATCCAAACAACAGTTTAGTGACCACTTAATGCACAACACAAAAACCCTCTAGAGAGACACATGTTTTTTATTGGCTCAATTTTTTGCAGGTTGTATGGCAAAATGAATAGGGGCAGTGATCCTGCTGTGTCAGGTGCTCCTTCCTTTTCACTTTGTCCAGAATGCGCCTTAATCCTCTCAGTTCTCTGCACAGTGAATTGTCTGTGTGTTTCATTCCTGTAAATGCATTCTCAAGTAGGCCTTCTGGCTCTGAAACACCAGATTTTTGATATGCAGTAAGTAGTCTGGCAGCTTTTAATGCTCATTTAGAAATCAGCATATGAAACTGCCAGTAGCTACTACTGCCAGGGTTGAACACAAATCACAATTATAAAGATTCTGATAATTTGCCTTAAATTCTCGTTGCTAAGTCCAAGATAGTTTTCTTTTAAAATGAAAGAAAATATTTTGGCACTGAAGGAAATGCATGCAATTAAAAAAAAACCCCAAAATTATTAATTCATGCTTAAAGAGTTGCTTGAATTCATGTCTTTGGTAATTCCATTTAACACTAGAGAAAAGATGGAAAGGGACAAAGTGATCAAGATCAGGCAGAAGACACACTTTAGCAGGTTGCTTGCCTAATTCAGCTGTTATTTCCTTCTACTTCAAGCCACCTTCTCCTTTTAAGCAGTGCAGTTCTGTAAAACTATTAATAAATGCAACAACAGGAGCAGTCCACTCTGAAATGTGCAGGTAGGACTGACACACACAGGTAGGTTCCCACTGAAGTACAGACCACAGCAGGCTGGCTGTGCCTGATACCACAGGCACACCTGCACAGACTCGGACTCATGCTCTCCATGTACACGGCAGGAGAGCCCCTGTTTCCACACGGGACAGCACTAAAACAAGCAAGGGCAGCACAGACAGAGGTTATCTACAGAGGCTACAGATATTGTGTATAGGGAATTTTGAGCTACTTTGCAAATCTGATGTTGATTAGGACACAGGCCTTCTCACTGCCACCAAAAAAGTTAGAAGAATAGATTATTTCTTTACCTCAGCGAACTAAATCTGCTCCAAGCATCCCTGTCATTTCACTGCTGTCTTTACATGAGGGTTGAATATTATTTTATTAATCACTCCATGGTCTCTTCTACTGAAGAGGTAGTATTTAACTTTTTGCTGACATTTTACATTTGTAAGCCAAAAACCCAATGTATTCACCTTTGAATGTTTATGAATCATGTGTATTAAGACTAAATTTAATTTTGTAATACTTACTTAAATGACTAAAAATCTTAAGAGACGCAGAATAATTGTCTGATGAATTAGACTGTATGAGCTTCTCTAAAAGTATTACAAACTATTAGCCTAGTGAACTAATAGTTATTTGCAGTAATTCCTGTGGACAACTGATTACTGGAATGTCAGCACATACATCACAGAACAACAACATTAAATAGTTCTGTGAACTACAGGGCTCAAAGTAAGAGATTAAAAGCACAGGAATTAATCAGGTTGAACACTAATATTGTTACATGTGGTTGCCATTTGGGTAACAGTGAACATATCCTGAAATTAAAAAAAAACAAACCTATTCAAAGCTGAAAGGAGAATTACTTCAGTAGAATACCACTGGGTTATCTTTTTTCTTCCCTTTTCCCCATCACCTTTCAGTATGCCAGAATGGTTAGTCAAGGAATACAGACTGTAGTGTTCTCAATACACTGACAACAGTACAGACATACTGCAGACCACCAGATCCATATGGTACAGCAGAACCATACAGAAGCTTCCACAGCCAAGATTAAACTTGGGTGTCTTAAATGGAGCCTACCCTAGAGGAGATCAAAGCCACACCAGTGGATAAGCTGTAAGTACAATTCATGTGATTTGCCACAAAGCCATTTGTGAGCAGTTAACCTGTGACAGAACTGCTCCCAGAAACAGCAAGATACTCTTCACACCATGTACTTCATTCTGCTGCCTCTTGGGAGGGGGACACATAGCTCAGAACACCCAAACTTGGCTCCAGCCTGAAAGAATTCAGATTCCATTTCAGATATCTATTTCTAATAGTGTCTCCATGATGTGCTAAATACCACAAACGTGTATTGTAAAGTAAAGAATAAATTCTCCACATGATTGTGTTTTGGTTAAGTTACAATTTAAGGCAATGCTGGCTAAAATTCATTTAAACTAAGAATCCTTAAGATGCTTGAGCTTATAAAATATCTATCCTTAAAAATTATTCTGTATTTTAAAATTGCACTAGGACTCTTTCTTTTTCTGGTGCAATATTATGTGTTTCAAAAAAGAAAATCAGGCCTTCAGCTATAATGTTTTAACTGGAATTTATGAGTTTTGTACATCCAAGATATGTTTTTCCAATAAACTCTTAAAGACAAAGAAAACAGCGAATGGTCAAAGAGGTCTAACAATGAAACAAGATGCCAAGTGGGCTAGACTGCCAGAACTGCCCTAGCTGAACTTGGGCTTTTGAAGTCCACATGTCAGCCAAGAGCAGGACTTTTTAAAAGACAAAACAGACAGAGTTAAAACAGCAAAAATATTTTTGTATTGACTAGACACTCATAAACAATTCTACTTGCCATGCACAAAACCAGGAAAAAACCAATTTATTCCACTGCTTGTGTTGGTCTATAATGGCACAAAACTGGGAAAAAAATCCCTGCAGCAATATGAATGCTGATATTTCTGAAATTTTTATATAGAAACTCATATTTAGAGATTAGTGACAAACTGGAGAAACAAACTTTTTTTTACCAGTTTCTTTCCCAGTTTTAAAAGTGAAACAGCATACCTTGTTCAGAGCACAAGGCAATTTTTACAGATAAAAGTAATAGCAACAATTTGATCTCTTCATTGATCTGCTGACTTGTACAATGCCATCATAAATTGCCACTTCACAAAAATATGTCAATCCAACCAGTACTAGAACTACATTTTGAATTTCCCCTCATTTTATCATAAAGGTAGGACTGTAACTGCTATGTCTAGTTCTCCTAAGGATAGACATTTTCCAGCTGGAATAAAATTTATCTTTTTTTTTGTTGTCAGAAGAAATCAATGATCAAATTTAGGATAGGAAAATTCAGCCAGCGAGACCATTTAATTTGCCAGTATTTCTCCTGTGCATCAAAATTTAACACGAACAGTTACATTTTTCAAGTCAAGACTGTAGATGCAGAACTAGATCTTCTTTTATAGCCTGAAGTGACTAATTCCAACTGTCTCTGTTATGTTTTAATAATATCTCTTTTAATTTTCCTTTAAGTTTTAAATTAAAAAATCTGCTCCATCCATTTCTGAAAAACAGATTGCTGTGTAATCAAATGCAGAATCTAAAACACGAAGCATATGCTCTCTGTTCAAAAGGTTGCTTTCATTTCAAACTAATGTCAAAACTTCGCTATTTAGAAAGTAAATTTCAAGAATGTTTCATTTATACTCATATATACACAGCCAAAGGATAGTTAAACAAAAAAGACAATGAGAACACTCACCAAAAAAAGCCAGTTTAAGATGTAAGTATTGAGTATATAAACAGTTTGTAATATCTATTAATTTTCAAATGCCTTCTAAAATTTAGGGTTAGAATAAAAAATTATTCTAGGAAATATCCTGATCTCTCTTTAAGAAGTGTTATGTGATCCTTACTGCCATAATAATAAAACTGTATTTTTCCTTGTATACTTCAGTTTCAAGATTTCTTAAATGTAAGCATCTATAAATCAAATTCAGTGGAACAAGAAGAAAAATCTGGTCTGTTTTCTAGTATTTTTAATATTAAAGAGGTGATATTCACATCAGTGTCCACTGGAATGGAAAAATCATGGTGAAAGCATTAAGAAGTGAGAGTCTAAGCAGGTGGGAATTATTAGATAGCTGATTTTATAATACTTTTGCATTAACTTCATGAGTAAATATGTTATGCCTCAATTTTAGTCTAAATATCTTTTATAAGAATTCACCTAGCACTGTAGTACCCCCCCCAAATCCAAGCCTGACTAAGCTTGAGCAGACAGTTTGGTTTGTGCAGAAGCCTGGTGTTCATTCCCTTCAGCAGCTCACCACACGTTCCAGTGCAGCAGCTGGGGAGCCCCCAGCAAGCTCAAGGACCAGGGTGCTTAACTCAGATGGCTTTTATCCTATTAAATCCAGCACTATCCTTATTCCCAGAACATCTGAGCACTGACTACACAGAACTGAACACTCCTTCTAGTACCTACTAGACCCGCATCCCACTTGTGGGAATTTAAGGTTCAATGAGAATCAAATGTCCATTTCCTTGTATGTCAAGTAGCCCCAGTGCAGTGACACAGAAGTGGAAATAAATCCAGATTTCAGAGCCTCTTAGCCGGTACCAAGACAGTGATTCCACTGCTACCCCTTGCTGATGGTTTGAGTATGAAAAAGTTGCTCTGTGACCCAGCTGGGGACTCCACATTGTTCCAGGCCAGCAGAAGTACAATACCAAGTACTATTTCTTACTTTTCTGTCTCCATACTCATGATATATACCGAACCTCTATGGGACAATATCTAATCAGTTTGTATTTTCTTTTTCACATGGTATGCAATGGAAAGATATCAGGGACCAGATTTGTTTAAAATAAGAAGTTTCCAGCATTGAGCTGTTTCAGATTCTTACACAATTATATACAAAGAAATCTAATGCTATGGGATGAATGTTCGATGTCCCTATATAATTTCCAATTGCAATTATCCCAACTGTTTGTACAACACTGACATTTCACTTAGGACTAAAATTTCCCTGAATATATGCACTCTCCCCACATACAAATACCTCGCCATGTCCCAGTTTACTTCCAGATCTTATGAATATTAAATGGGAAAGGGACAATACTTGATTTGTGCACTGACATGCTATCTTCCAGTTACAGATGCTAAATGACTAGCTGTGGAGCAGAAAAGTAACTTTTGAGATCTTACTATAAGTTTTTTTCTTCAGCAGTGGCAATAATCTGAGTTTCTCTCCTCTAAGAGGGTTTAATTTTCCACTAACCTTGTCAAAGCTTTTGATCTTGAAATCTCTACTGTTCTGTCAGATTTGGTTTGAATTAGCCAATAGATATAAAAAAAGGCATGTAAACTGAGACTGTTGATTGAGAGATCAGCACGAAACCAGAAAATACATTACCAGTTTGTCCAGAAGTAAACCAAATTAAAAGACCCCAAAAAAATCTATAGCTGTTTTAGGCAAATTTGAGACTTGGAATTATCTGAAGAACTTCTTTCTTGGAAGAACTTGAGTTGTTCTTTTCTTGACACACAAAACAAGCATTGTTCATCACCAACTAGCACATTTCAGATAAATAAAACACGCAAGGGGATTAGTTTATGGATTACTATAGATAAAAGAGCAAGAATCAGGCTCTGATTCTACGAAGAAGGCTCATCTTCCAGCGGCACATACAAGGCTCAATGAACTAAGACATGAAGATCTGGTATGTTCCACACCAATGATATAATTACTATAAAATGCTAGCAATATCCCTTTTTCATTGCTTCTATTCCTAGATAACGGGGTATAGCACAATTGTTTTTACTCTTTCATTATTTTGGTGCTAGATAATTGAAGTGGCAGAAGAAAGCTTGTTTTTATCTAGAAAACACTTCAGATAACCAATAACTCCAATTACAAAAAAATCCTTCAGTTTAAAAAAGAATAAAATTTAAGATTGAATTTTTACAGCTGAAATTGATTATCCTAATTTACTTCTTTCAGTTTTCTTCTTGAAGTGCTTAATTTATAAAATGAAGTTAAAAAAGGCAATTTTGAGATGTGCACTTCTGGGCCTCGCACATGAGTTTAACTGTTTATTATCAGTATTTAGAAAATCCCTGTATGTGAAATTTACAGAGCTTTATAGATCAAGACTGGCTTTGGAGGTAGCAGCAGAAATCATACTTCTGGCTCAGCTATAGTCTCCTTTAGGTCAATAAGCTACCCACTCAGGTGGGAAAGTGATTTTCTGACTGTTGACTGCTCAGTTCAATGCAACAATAGCTCTGTTCCACATGAGATTCGTGTGCGTGAACACAACCTTTGCAACTGCGGTCTGGAGGGGCAGTACAGCTGTCAGAGCTCAGCCTAAAACTATACACATTGGAACAGACTAGGACTGTAGGATTGCACATGTTTGTGTTCGGGAACATTGTTCAGCAGTTCTGTTACCTGTCAACCAAACAGAAGCTCGTGAGAGATTTTCCTGAATGAAGACAATAGTTTGAAAAGGTTTGATTACACCTAATTAAACTATCCTTTTCAGCAAAAATTGTGGCATAGAAAATCTACAGGAATTATGGTATTTGTGTGAAAGCTGCTTCAGTCCCATAACAGCAGTCATGGCTGTATCACTCACATACGGGAACTGCTCTACCTAAATTACAACCAAAGGAGCTCTAAAGTTATTAAAAGACCACACATAATTTTCAGTTGTCTTAAATTAAAGATATCTGTCAATGTTCCTCACATAAAATACTTTAGCAAGAAAGTAAGTAAAGAATAAGCATTTGCTTTCACTTTAGAGCCCTCAGCAATTCCAAACACCTTATCAGATATTAATTTTACATAAAATACTTTGGTTAAGCATTACTGAATTGTAATGTATTAAAAAATAACACTGATAGGAGTTTTGAATATGATTAATAACTCTTAACTTTCCTAATCATAATAACAGCTCCTCTCTATTTCTTACTGTACTTGCATGGCTTATATCTGTAAAAGGAGAGAGGACTCTCAGAAATTGGAGTGAATTACAGCACCATGTAAAAGTGTTTGTAATTTCTTCTGGAGGTGAAGAAAGAAGAGTTATTGGGATTTTCAGTTGTTTGAGGCCTTTTTCCTCTTTTTCCCCCTCTCCTCTTTCCTAATCAATTACCATTTCCTATGACAAGGCAAAACCAAAGTATCCTACCTAGGATTACATACATCTCTTGAGAAAAGAGAATAAAATTAAATAAAGAATAAAATTAAATACCCAACTACTTTACTACAATGTATCTTAATAAGAACATAGAATTTCTAGCAATTACCAGGATACTTTAACATAACAAGAAATCGAAGCTGCCATGCAGGCAATACTATAATTGGCTAAACTGAGCAGCTGAGATGCATACACAGACATCACATGCTTCATCATAACTGCAACACTAAAATTACTTTTTCAAACCCATGTTCAATTATAAAAAAACACCACCAACAAAAAAGGAACAATTTACCAGCGTTCTATGTGAAGATTTGAGAAAGTCTGCAAGGCAGCTTCCCTGGTTAGAAGTTTAAATCCACACTGTGTGTCCCGGATCTCTTTGACACAGAGAAACCACACCAGGAAATGGAACCCATACATGAGGAGAGTTCGAAAGTAAGAGCGCTGTGGACAAAAGGCAAGAAGTTAGGTGGTTTTATTTGAGTGATGAGAGAAGTCCTTGAAGAGAGCTGTCTTACAGGACAGTAACTCTTGTTTTGTGATAGCTTTCAAAGTTTGTAAACTGGCTGTATTTTGCACTGGAATGAAAATAGAACTTAACAATTGTTAAAGTACAAACAAAATTTTGGCTGAAAGGGAAATATTTTCATCTAGGGAAAGACTTGCCAGTCATGTGCATAGTCTAGGACACGAGAAATCCAAGTTCCTTCTTCTCCTCTCCCCACTTCAGAGCAGTTTCTCAGTCTGGATTATGCCTTATTAAGTAAAGCAGAAACCTGCACCTGGATTTCAAATAATTAGTGGAACAGCCATAGTGTCTTCTGTATGACTCTTTGGAAGTACATAATGGACCAAGTGAAAACCAGGTCTAAAGTAAAGGCTGCTGTGCAAGATATTTCATTTTATATTACCAGCAATGTTACAGTCATCTCTTGTTCTTTTGGTTTCACGGATATATTTTATATTCTTAATAAATGTTCCCAGCCTACCTGTTGGTTACACTTGTGCTCTTGACACAATAAAAATACAGATAAGTTTGGCGATGAACTCCAAAGACTGAAGTCTGGGTTTGCTGAGGTCCGTCTTAGGCTTTTATTCAAAATAGCTCCTAAACAACTAGAACTGTGATCTAAAAATTGCTTCTGAACTCACTGCTGTTCCCATGGTAAATTTAAGTGACTGTATCTATGACTGCAAGCCACACATCATATAAAGTCTTTAGGAGCCAATGACTCAAATGTTAAGTATCTCTGGGTGATAAGAAATGCCTTTAAAACCAACAATTTAGAATCTCACTTGAAAAATAGAGAAGATGCTTGGTTTATTATGTAATAGCCTTTGGCTTAAGGAAAACCAAATTCATAGCTTGCGTCTTTTGAAAAGTGCTCCTGCCCCAGGTTAATGGTGGATCTGGTGTGGCTTCTTTGGCTCTTTTGGGTCTGTGACGAGGAACACCAGGCTCCCACCAGGCCAGAAGGGAAGTGGTAGGAGGCTGCATGACTGTCAGACAGTGAAGCTGTGCACTTACTTCACAAAGAGCAGTTCCTGGGTTATGCCTGTCATTTCTAAGACCATGCAAGTCATAGTATAGATTCATTAAAGGACATTAACAATTCTGGAGGCAGACCCGAATTCTTGATGTATTGAGACTGAACACAAGGGTGAAATTCTGGTCTTAATGAATTTAATACAGCTGCTTATCACAGCTTCATTCTACAGTTTTAGATGCCAGTAAGTCCAGAGAGAAATCCCAACATCTAAAAGATTGCTCTGCATCTTTTTTATACCTATTGTACTATACAACAGTCTTGTCCCACCATAGTAAATGTAGTCTTTCTATTCCCGTCTAGGGACCACCAAGCGATGAAACAAAATGGGCTACACATTTCAAGCAAATCAGTTCTGCCTAAACAGTTTGTGATTCCTCTATTAAAAATTCAGAAATATGGGGAGAAGCAGGAAGCAAAGGATGGACATGTCATAAAAATTGTACTTTTGTATTAGAAGATGAAAGTCCTGTCCCAATTCCTCTCCCTAATGTAGCAAGAAATATGAATGCACTGAGGAAAGTCTGTCCATATCCAGTACTTGACCATGCAATGAAACATTTTTTCTGGGCTCCACTTTATCAGCTACATAATCTCCTTGTAGTAGTTCCTAGTTTCTGATCATGATGAAGGCTTTTTTCTTGTTGTTTTTTTTTTTTTTTGTTTTGGTTTCTTTTTCTTTTTGAGGATGAGGATGCTTTGAGGATGGAAATATACACACAGCAGTATTTGCAAGAACTCAGGAAGAGTGTACCACTCCAATACTATCTCATAAACCAGAAGGAAAAAGTACAGATCTGCCAGAGGCTGAACATTATCAGTGTAACTTCTTTTGAATGTCTGTAACTATTTTAGTAGTCGTGTATATATTTTACAATACTTTCAAGTACTAAACATCAGTATAAACAAAGCTTACTCTTGAGAACATTCAACGAGCTGAGCACATCCAATGACATTAAAAAATGAGCCCAGCAATGTGTCTGTTGCAATACAAGTTCCATGCCTGTGCTTTGTCAATTACTGTCTGCCAAGACATCAGAAAATCAGATGCAAGCTAAAGCCATGTGCCTGTGTATCACTGTTCATTACACAAGAGTCACACAGAGAACAGTACTGTCTGTGTGTTCAAATCTCAACAATTTTACTGTGAGTAACACAGAATACTTAAACCACTTTCCCATGAATAGAGGTACTCTTCAAACAGCTGGCTGCTAATTATCCCTAACTAATTTTAAACAGGTTTCAAGATCAGCAGGCCAAGTTCTTGCATTGGAAGGCAATCAATAATAATGAACTCATCAGCTGCCTTCCCTTCCAGCCCCAGTACTGGTTGCTGGACTCCAATTCTGTCAGGGTTTCGAAGCTCTGCTTGTGAGATATCATCAACTATAAAAATTAAGTCCTTAAATTGGAACACTAACTGAAATGAGTTCAAAGTGCCTAAAATCTAGAACATACTCTTTGTATATGATGGAGGACCTCCTGCATGTATGACAAGCTTTTCCTTATTTTTAGCTTCTATTCTTTTAAAAATATTGATTATCTAATTGCAAAACCTGTAGAGCAGAAACAAATAATGGAAATATTTGGTTATAAGTACACAGCAGGAAATGAAAACAAACCTTTGCTATTGAGTCCTTCTCCAGATGAGCTCTAGAACCACAGGAAACAGCCATCCCTTCCTGTACAGGAATATAAATTAAAGAGTTATTTCTTAAATGAATATTATTTGAATTGGTGGAATCTTGTGTTGAGAACCATAAAAAAACCCCCAAAACTTCACAGCAGTACACTTTTCTGCTTCCTGTAGCTGTACTTCTTCTACTGCTAGGTTTTGACCCTAAATCAGTCTTTTACAATTAAGAGACAATCTAAAGTTTATTACAATTTGCATAAGGTGCATGCAAATTGCCTCCATTCATTCAGCTCTTGTTTAGCTTTACATTGTTTATGCACATGGAAAATATTAGCAGAACAGATAAGTACACAGCATTCCTAGGAACTAAATTTTATAATGTACATTTTCCTTAAGTATTGCACAATGGAAGCAACAACAGAATAAAGCACTTGTTGCACTGAAGTATCTTCAAAGGAATAAAATGTCATGACATCAGCCAAAAATATAATCTCAAATGAAGTCAACATGATGAAAACAAAAGGTTTAACACTATTCTCACACTACTTCCCACATAAAATCTCTCAAGTCTATTCTATTTGAGGCCAATGCTGAAGAACCAGCAGCTGCTGCAGCCCTGATAGGGAAGAGTGTCAGGGTCACAATGCCGCCCATTGTGTCCTGCACTTGTGGCTCTTCCATTCAGAGGCTGTGACCCCTTCCACAGGTACATTCCCCACAGCTCTGTCTGAAAGGCTGCACATCTTTTCTGTCACTCTGGGAAACCAGCTACAAGTACCTCACCCATCTGCATTTAAGCAGAAAATAAACCTCAGTTCTTTCAAGTCAAGCTTCCAAAAGAGAATGACTGTGCAGGGAGGTGTTCTTGCTCCACAGGTTGTTGAGTTTTTGTTTACAATAGAAGTTCTTCCAAATCCTGTCATTAAACTAAGAACTCTGAGAAAATAAGACCTGTATAAAAGAGGGTGGAATTAAGATGCACCCTTAAAGGTATACAGAATGACATCAGATAAAATGAAAAAACAGAACAGTTCACAAAGAAAACTAAGTAGGCATCACATGGTATTTATACAGAACAGAACAACTTCAAACTATTTGCAGGAAGGATAAACAGCAAATAGAACATTCTGTACTGCCTTCGAGTAGGCACAATGGATGCAAAGGAGGTAAGAACTCAGTGAAAGCTCCTTCTGACAGCCCATTCTTGAGGCTTCTAATCTTACACTTAGGTCTTCAGACTTACACCTGCATCTTCAACTGAATCTCAAAAAATTTGAAGCGAGCTACAAAAGTCTATTTTTGTGTATTAAAGTATGCATGTGTATTGCAGTAAAAGCACGAGAATTTATACTCACAGGCCATGGCTGGAGACTCTTTAGACCTTCTTCTACTTTCTCAATATCTGCAAATTTTGTAGCTCCATCTGCATCAGCCATAAGAATCATCTTCCCCCGAGAACTAAAGACACCCTGCAATGAGAATAGCCAATAAAAAAATCCAACAACTTTGTAATAAATTATTTGTCATAAGCTAGGTGCAAGACACTCCAAAAACCTATGTAGTAACAAGACAGTGGTATCTCACAGATTCCACACAACAGGTGAGTATTAATATTCTGCTACTAACAGTAATTTACCTATTTATATGGCAATAACATCTAGAGGCTTCACACTCTGAGTGTCCACAGTGATAGACAATGCATGAACACGAAAGGCTAACAATCCTTCCCAGGAAAACCTAATCTAAAAGGCAACAAGTTGCTACAGTCAGCTCTAGAGGGGAGCAAGGAGTAGCAGTGATTAGCAGTTGCCACGGCAGGGGATGCCTTTTCTTTGTCATGAGCGCGTAGAAGGAGGATGCAGTGCGAGTTTTTCCTAACACTGTTTAATGAAAATTCAAGAGCTATTTCTCAAAACTAATTTAAGACTAAGTCTCAAGTCACAGTATCACTGCAAAACACTTGTGATACACAGGTTTCACAGTTTATTTTGCCATATGCTTGGTCAGAAAAATCTCTTAATTTTTGAAGGGGTCCAGCCAGGAAAACAATTATCAGTGGGTGTGACAAAAGTACTGTTGCAACCAAGCATGTGTGCATCTGGAAAAGCCTGTCAAGGAAGTAGCTGTACACACATCCACTCTACATAATGCATTGTAAAAGTATATCACATAGACAATTGTTCTCCTTCCCTTGGAAAAATTTCAAAACTGTATCTCTTACAACAGTTCCATATGTTCTAATATTATGTTCTCTCCATTTCCAATAGTTATTCAGTTTTCATAAAAAAGAAATTGACATACTAAAGATAGAGCTGAAAATACAGATAAAGACACTCACTGACAATTCATAGATGATACCATCCTTTTTCAGAAAAGCAAGGTGTCATGCATCATAGGAATACAATGTTCCTTCTAAATGTGCAACAGCTATTTCATATTTAGAACATGTTCATTTTACGATAATATCCATGTGAAAGCATGAATTGTGCTGTTCTGACTATCGAGTGTGGGTGATAGCAGTGGGCTTCAGTAAACACAAACTGTGCTGGATGAGTTCCTGTTTATCAGCCATGTTAAAACCACAGCCACGACCTGGAGAGAGAAGTTTGCCAATTTGGCTCTATTTTGTCTACAAAAGCTTAACTTTAATCTATAACAGTTTTGGTGGTTTTTTTTTTTTTTTTTTGGTTGGCTTTTGTAAATGCAAGCCTATTTTTAAGTAGAACTAACATGAATATGAAATTCAAGCAGATTTTCCACTTTGAATTCTCATGTTAAAAAAATGTCTTTGTTATTGATCTTTCTGGAAAGACAACACTGCTACCAAGATGTAAAATAAACTTATTTTGAAAAAAAATTTTGCTTTAATTTAGAGAATCTGTACTCAGTTTTCTCCTCATGATTTTGTTAATGCATTGAATTCAAAATGTCAATCAGCACAGCTCTATCTTCTGCATATTTTGGCACAGGTAGTTCAAACAGAGAAGGAGATGAAAGTATTAATTACCGTCCTGACTGCTCCCCCTTTCCCTCGATTTTTTTCCAAAGTTATCACTCGCACTTTGTCACTTCCATATTTCTTGCAGTACTCCTTTGCAACCTGACAGATACACAAAAAGCCAGCATAAAACAAAACCAGGAACCAAGGGAGAAGTGTACATTTGCTCACCCTTCAAAAGAAAATAAATTAATAGCACAGAGGTATAACCACTTCAGTCAGCACAAATATATTGCCAGTGTTCGCTGGAGTCTGTTTGGGAAAATAAAAACAGTTCACAGTCAAAACAAAAAGACTGTAGAAACAAAGTAATGTTCAATAGGAACATGATATTTTCCTAAGCAATTTCAACCCCCATCCTCCCACCTCCAAAAAACTCAATCCTAATTTAATTTATATCATACTATTACAGACCTTTTCTATTAACACCAATAGTTCATAAAAGAAATACAATTTTCTATGACAGCTACCTATTTCTCACTTGTCTTGCTGCTATTTGTGGTTTTGAAGAAAAATTCATATTGATCTAAGACTCCATTCACACTGCAAGGATCTGAACATTTTGGTACATGTTGTGGGGAAGAGAAAGAAAGCTCAGGCTTTCTCCTGATTTTTTTCTAAAGGTTGTCTTGAGTCCTTTTAAGTCCAGAGGCCTGCAGCCATTGTATGCTCAGTTGAAAGAGATGGTAGAAAGAATGCACAGCAGTCAAAATTATATATCAGCAATCCTTAAAGCAATATACATTTTAGTGTCTACCTCAAATATCTTCCAAGCAGTAGGGAAAAAACCCCACAAGCTGGCTAGCCTTCCTTGCCAGTGACATAGACAAAAGCTGGAGCAGAAGAATACAGAACTATTTTGAAAATACTAATACTGGCATGTGGATATTTAAATGAACAATCCCACAATGGGTGTGGGAAAGAACCATGTCAGCTGTTCTGTCAATCACAGTATGAATGAAATATTTTAAAAGACTTTTTAGCTTCCTGAAATTCCTATTCACATCATCACTATGGACATGCAGAGTATTTAATGTGAAATTTCTTGAAGTCAGTATTAGCATTCTTAGAACTTCAGCTGCAGAAAAGTGGCTGTCACAGTTGCCAATCAAGAAAATTGAAATCTGCAAAAGAATTGTGTGTGTATTCATGTGCCTCTGCGCCATCCATGATGCAATGACAGAGATAATTCAGATTTGTGAACTTCAACTGTCAACTGCTTCAAGTACCAAAATATAAATATAAACCACTGGTATATTCCACAAATATACAAAAATCCAAACAAAATTCATGCCTCTGATTGCTTGGGAAGACATTACTTTTTCTTACCTTCGCAGTTTGATCTTTACTGCCATCATTAACCACTATCACTTCATAAGTGAATGAAGGATCTTGTTTCTTGAAAATAAAAGCAGAAATAATGCATTTTATTTCAATTTCATCAATTTCATCCAATTTCTTAAGCAGGCAATAGGTCTTTCAAATGTCATTATTCTTTTCTCCCTAGCAGTCATTCATAGTTGCCAACAGATACTAATATGATGCAGTAAATTTGTTAAGATGGCATAATTACAGAATTTTGCTATATTTGATGCAGGAACTGTTACACTGGCTTTCATGCTACCATCTAGAACTGAAAAATCAATTTAGCTGAAGCTCAGAAAAACATAACTTTTAAGAAAACCCAAACAAACAAAATCCACAAACTTTCACAATGAGCTTCTTACCCAGAGAACAAATCCTAATGAAGAACAGATGCTTACGAAACTTGTTGGAACAAACCAGGACTTAGTTTAGAAAATTAAATGCATGGTTAATCCCTAGCTCTGTCTTGGGCAGATTTCATGCATATGAAGATTGTTTCATCTACAGTAGCATATTAAATTTTTACTTCATTTAAAAATCCTTTCTGGCACTTGATCTAAAAATAACTGACAAAAGACAGAAGCATTATTTCTAAGTGGCCAAGTACTACTGTTTTAATGTACACTAACATAATAAAATGACTAGATCACTGACTTCTTATACATAATGCACAGAGAAACAATGAATTTTGAAGGCAAAAAGAAAATACCTGTCTTTTTTCTAGATAATCCAAAGCTTCATCCATCATAAGTGGTACTAGAGAAAAGGTGGAGGAGGTCAGGTTAGTAGCTTATAATACCAAAAGCACCTGCACAAGCAAGCTGAAAACAGCCGCAAACCAAGGCTGAGCAAATCAACTCTTTCATACAACACTACCTTCAGTAAACAAGCTTAGCAGCTGCAACTCTTAAGTGCTGTCTTTTCTGAATGCAGAAAGAACACTGAAGAAAATCACACAGCTGATAAAAAGACAGGATAAAAACTTTTATTCTGAGGAACCAAATTTTCACTTTGAAGTATGTAATTCTCTACATAACATTAAAGGAAAAAAAATCATTCTTTAAGACTGACCCTGTAAAGCAGCAGTAACTTTATCTATTTAAGCAATCTGTCAGCTTGTGTACTGCCCCATCAGCTTTAGAGCTCGATTATTTCTATCGCATCTAAAAGCCTTCACTCAGTATTATGTACTCCTATCTATGGCCAAGTCAAACACAAACCCGTGAGATCATCACTTTTTCTGCTTGTCTGAAGCTTCTGTTGTTGTTTAAAGAGTGGGAAGCTCTCAAATCAATTTAAAAAGTATTTTACTACTTCTTGCCTCGCAGCATTTGCAGGGGCAATGAACAGCCCATTCTTCTGGGGTTCATTAAAATTAAAAGGATTCTTACAAGTGCCCCATGCTATTTTTAGCAGTAGAAATCAAGTTACACTATGCCTTAATTTTGAAATTCAATGTACTTGGACTGTTTTCTGGAAACTGTGTCCAAAATCTGATATGTAATCTGGCCTGCCAGAATCTACTGCTAACCCAACTGACCTCTTCATTATTACAGTAACAACAGATAGATTTTCTTCTTTTCCTCAAAACTAGAAAAATCTTACACCGGTTTTCCTCATTGTATGAAGGCACAACGACAGAGAGTCCTCTTGTAGCAGGATCATGTATGTTTGGCGCAGAGCCTTTTGCATCTTCGTGTGGCATTGTTTTGGCAGTTACATGAGCGATTACACAAATCTGTGATGAAGAAGAAATGAAAAAAGTTGTCAAGCATTATGTTAGAAGTTTACCTAGCTATTAGATGTGCTACCAGAAGCAACCAAGTATATTTTAGCAATGAGGTGGGTCACTGCTGTGGAATTTCACACAGGACCAAAACCCCCTCACACCGTTTGGTTACTCCCACTCTGACCACTGTCAGCATCATTGGCTTGCTGCTGTTTTTATCTGCAAAGCATGCAAGTGCCTCCAAAGCCGTGGTCCAAGCTCCTTCCCCAAGTAACCTTGAGTACATAAGCAGGTGGTACCTTTGATCCCCCACCAAGCCACTGAAATCAATGGCAAGGCTCACAACCAGCCAGCCATATGTGATTGCAAAACCAAGGCTCTGATTGCTTTTTGCATGGCTGAAAAAAAAGCGGTAGAACTTGGGTTCTGGAGCACTTTTACTTGGTGACATCACACACAGAATCACCTGTGTTGAAAAAGACCTCTGAGATCACCGATGCCCCAACACCACCGTATCAATTAGACCGCAGCACTGAGTGCCACGTCCAGTCTTTCCTTAAACACCTCCAGGGACGGTGCCTCCGCCACTTCCCCGGGCAGGAAGCATACGTGGCACTGCGGACAGGCAGCAGAATTTCGCTTTCCAGGGGGTCGACCTTCTTAATCTCGCAGGACATTTCGAATAAGCAGAAACACAGCCACTTCCCAAACGGTTCACGCGAAGGCGTTACCAGGACATTTCCCAACACGTACTGCAAGGCTGAAATGCTCCGTCCTGGTGCCCTTTGCTAGGCACGGCACCCCACGCCTTGCCGAAACACGTTCCCCGCACAACCCCCCGCACAAGCGCAGCCCTGCCGGCTTCTGCCGCCCACCCCAGGCCGGCCCTGCCGCCCGCGGGGCGCGGCGGGACCCCGGGCAGCGCCCCTGCCTCGCACCGGGGGGCGGGCACAGGGCGGCATCGCGCACCGCCCCCGCCACGGAGCCCCCGGGCCCGCCGTGCGCGGCTCTCACCAGGACGAGGAGGAAGGCGGCAAGGGTCGCTAGCGCCAGCGCGGCTGCGGGCAGGGTCAGGGGCAGGGACGGGAGCGGCGGCAGCGCCATCGCCCGCGGCAGCCGCGGGGCCCCAGCGCGCCGCGCCCCGGCGGTCACGGCCCGGCAGCGCCGCCGCCCCTATGGCCGCTGCTGCCGCCGGTCCGCCCGCGAAGGCTGCCGGGAGGGCGGGCCGCCAGGGGGAGCCACATCCGGGGCGGAGACGGCACCGCCATGGCGGCTGCGTTCAAGTAAGTGCTGGGCCCGGGGGCCGCGGTGCCGCCGGAGCCGCGCTGCGGGTCCCGCCCGGGCCCCCACCGCCCCGGCCGCTCGGGGACCCTCGAGGGCTTTGTCCGGGGAGCGGGCTCGGCGCGTCTGGGCGGGATGGGGTCGGTGCTGCGGGGGCTGTGGAGCCCCGATGTGTGCGGGAAAGACTGAGCGAGCGGGGTTTGGCCAGGCGGGAAAAGGCCCGGCAAGAAGCGGAGCTCAGTGAAGCCCGGAGCTACCTGCTAGCAGAATTGCAGAGTATAACGAGGTGGATCCTTAGAGAGCAGCGAGTTCAGCTCCTGGCCCTGTGCAGGACCCCCCGGAGTCACCATGTGCCTGAGAGCGTTATCCAAGCACTTCTTGGACTCCGGCAGCTTTGGTGCTGTGACCTCTGCCCTGGGGAAATTCCAGTTCCAGTGCCCAGTCACCCTCTAGGTGACAAATGTTTTCCTACTCTCTGACCTAAACCTCCCCTTACAGCTGATAGAATTATAAGTTAAAACTGTGGGGAACACAATGACTTTCCATTTATAACTACTTGTTTTAGAATAGTAAAATGGTTTGGATCGGAGGGGATTTTCCCAGATCATGCAGTTCCAATCCCTCTGCCGTGGGCAGGGACACCTTTTGCTAGACCAGGTTGCTCAGAGCCCCATCCAGCCTGGCCTTGAACACCTCCAGGCATGTGGCATCCACAGCTTCTCTGGGCAGTCTGTCCCAGCACCCTTGATTCTATTGTATGGCTTAAAAGCTTCAAACGAGGTTTAGCAAGTGCTGTTACATGAACTGGAAAACAACAGACCTTGTGTTGTCCTTATAATCCAGTGGTACAGGACCAACACATATGGAGCCTACAGGGGCCAATTCATGCTGGCCGTTATGTTGGTGATTCCTCTGTGTGTTAGTCTGCATTTGGACAACTTGCCTATTCCACTTATCTTTTTCCCATCCCTGCCCCAGAAGCACTATTTTAATGAAACTGTGAATGCTTTGTTTAAATATTGGCGACACTTTTTATAAAAGCTTTCTTTTTTTACGTTAATGATCCCTGCTTAAATACTAATACACAGGTACTGTTACTAGTGCATGATTAATAATAAGCAGCAATTATTTATCATCTGAAGCACTGCACGGAGCATATTTTGTAATTTTATACTTTCTCAAAGATTCTAAGAAAAACTGAATAATTTAAAATTTTTTACAGTTTTCTGCATCTGAATGCAGTCCTTGAACTAACATATTTCACACAGTGTAGTAAAATTTTCCTTTTTGCATTCCTTGAAAGGCACTTTCCTTCCTACACCCTTCTGTCACTAAACACTTCTTTTGATTTTAAGTGAATAGGATTATTGAAGCGAAAGCTAGCAGTTTTTGTTAAGTGTATGTGCAGGCATGTTCCTTGTATGGAAGAAGCATTTTAGAAGTGAATTTAGGAAAACATCTTTTTTTTAGATTGGTTTAAAATTTCCTTATTGTTCTGTAAATGTATTGTGAAGCAGCTTTGTCAGGCGTCTTGATACCCAGATTATTTATTATTGCAGGTTTGTGGGGTTTTTTTTCTTTTTTTTTTTGTTTTTCCTCTGTGTCTTGCCTACTCAGGAGCTTGCATTTGAACTTCTCTTTCTATTTGTTCTAGAACTGTGGAACCATTGGAATATTACAGAAGGTTTTTGGTAAGTGAAACATAAGATGCCCGTATAAGTTCCTTGCAGTGATTTTTTTCTTGCTTGCTTCTGCTCCTCTAACTGTATGGAAATATGAAACTATGGAAATGAAAACTGAAAAAAAACCCCACAAAAAACTGTCTGAGCAGGCAAAAAACATTTGTGCTCTTCAGATATGTTTTTCTTTCCATCAGTGGTGTTGGTGCTGTTAGTCTTGATGGATAAATGCTTCTCTTGGTCGTGAAAGGAGTTCAGGTTAAATTAGACAAAGATGCAGGTTTTTGCCTAGTATAGATTATGTCAAACCAGGCTTTTAGATGCTACAGAAATTAGTAATGGAGACTATTGCTGCTAACCATGCACACTGTAACTGCAGAGGAAGAACACTGACTTTTGTTACCTTAAATTAGTTCAGCTATTACTGAAGTTGTATTGACTTAGAAATGGATCCAGTATTATTGCAAATTCTGGTTCTCATAATTGAACCAAAAGTGTTTGCTTTTGAAAAGCTTGAAACTGTGGTGAGTAACAATTCAGATCTAAAATGATAGAATACTGTTTTCAGTTTCTAACATAGGGGTTATGTGTTGTACAGCTTCTGACTGATGTTATTTGAATGCCATATTTTCTTTGGGTGCAGGGTTTTTCTTTTGTTTTCTTTAGTTCACTCTAATTTTAAGAGCTCCGCTAAGCAATGCAGGTGGGTAGAAACTCTCATTTTAAGCTACCAGCGCGTGTTCATTCTTGGATGGTGTTCTGAATCTAGTCTCCTGTAGTACCTACCCTTGAGACAATCAGTCTATTGTTATATTATCTAAATAAAGTTAAATGGATTTTTAAAATTAGGAGTTGTCTTTTGCAGGCCTGCAACACAAACTACATATAAGTTGATTAAAAGCCAACTAGAGTGTGACTGAGTTTTCCCTCATATTTTTGAGAAGACAGTAGTCTTTTTTATGAAGTTCTGTAGTAAAAATATTACTGTGTTATTTGATAAAGTATGTTTTCTAATTTGAAGTTTGTAATTTTTCTTTAGAAAGAGAACTGTCGGCCTGATGGAAGAGAGTTAGGTGAATTTCGTACAACCACTGTCAACATAGGCAAGTGCTTATGTGGAATAATAATAATAATAATGGGGGAGGTATTATTAATATCAGGTTATAGTGGTGACCTTAATGACTTGCTAATTGGTTTTCTTGGTAATTGCATTTGGAAACCAGGAAGAGGAAGGATTTTTTTTACAGTTTCAACAAGGATGAAAAAGAATGTGTGGTACAGTGAAATCCTTGAGCATTGTTTTCAGTCCTGTTCCTGGGCTAATGTGCACGGTGTAATTAGTCAATTCTGCTCCTGTATGTGCAGCACAATATAGGTGCCCTCACAAGTTTGCAGATGACACCGAACTAGGAGGGGCTGATATGCCATAAGGTTGTGCTGCCATCCAGAGGGGCCTCAGCAGGCTGGAGAAGCTCAACCATTCTGTGTGATTGGCTGTTTAATACAGTCAGTTTAATAGGTTCTTTCCCTCTCTGGATTTGAGACTTTGCTTGGGCTGTCTTTAGTGTAAAATGATGGAAAGTAAACACTCTGTGTCTGCTGGATGTTATTTTGCGCCCTTTGAAGGGAAAATAGATTTTATTCAACAATACTTTTTCTCTTCAGGTTCAATTACAACTGCAGATGGTTCTGCCCTGGTGAAGTTAGGAAATACCACAGTGATTTGTGGAGTAAAAGCGGTATGGTTGGTTTTTATCTTTATTTGTTAGCTGACTTTGTTCATTTGTGTTTAGAATTAATTGCCCATGGAATTGCAATAAGGTGCCAGTCAGATGCAATTACAGTCTTTCACCTGACTTACTTCCAGACCTGAAAGTTAATACATAATGTAATTGTATAATCCTACCTGTATAGTCTGAGAAACATGTATTTTTGTGATGCCCATTGTGTATGGGGAAAGATGTATAGAAAACTAAAGTCCTTGTTATTTCTAGATAAAAGCTCTGTAATTGAAAAGTTCCTGAACATGGATCAGTAAGTGCACTGGGAATGAGCTGGCTGGACTATTGAATGTCTTGTAGCCTCAACTCTACTGCTGGCCTGCCCTGACTTATAAAACAAATGACTGTTCATCCCTGTACTGAGTTCTTCCATAGGAAATTTACAGACAAGGACTGATTAAAAATGACTTTTGTAAATCTTATTGTTATAATAATTGGGAAGAAAACAACCATTTTTATATAGAACAGCTGAAAAATATTTTATACAAAATTCTTAATTTTGCTCTTTTCTATTTCTTCAGGAACTTGCTGCACCTGCAGTGGAGTCTGCTAATAAGGGATATATTGGTAAGTGTTTCAGTATGGATCTGAGGTTTTGTATTACTTCAGCTAAAAGGTTGTGGAAATTGTGTTCTGTAGATTTCTTAAAAGAATTAACTTTGATCAAACTTTATTGCAACCCTTCAAATTAATTTCAAAATTGGTATCCAGGCATCTAGAATTCCCTTTGCTTTGCTTGTGAGTTTTCCATACACAGCTACCTTTTTGTTGCTGTTTCCAGGCTGGGCATGGAAGGAAACCTGCATCATTGTGTATATTAAGAGGGAGAAGATACTCCATAAAAGATAGTGGCATGCATGGCTGTGCAAAGGCATGTTAACTTCTGTTTCAAAGTCCCAGTAGGCAAAAAATGTAACTGTTAAAAACAGTGAAATAAAAACTGTTTATTTCTCAGAGAACACTAAGTCCCAGTGGTACCTCCTCACTCTTGTTTGGAGTTTCTTTGGAAATAAAATAATTCAGTGGAATTGAGAGACAAAATCCCCTTTTTCTAAGGCATCTCCCAAGTATGTTGTTTTCAGTAAGCTTAACTATGCTTAGATTTTTTTCATGAATGTTTATGCTTCAAGTCTAAAGTCTCACGTTTTAATGGTTGATGGAAAGCAGACAGCATAGCAGTGAAGTCAGGCAGTGGGATGGAAATGGTACTGTTTCTTGATCTGCTGAAAAGTGCTTAAAGTTTTGTGTGGGTCATGATAGAGAAGGATTATAAACAGAGAATGGTAGCTAGGAGTATGTGCTTTTCCATGGAATATATAGTTTCTGAGTACAGAGAGTACTACAAGTTCTTTAATACAAACTCATGCATAACTTTATTTTTGAGGAGAGAAT